CGCAAGTAAATGTATTTGTGCCGGGGGAGGGATCGAGCGGGCCCTCTGAAGGAACGAGCGGGTAAGGGTCGCGGTTTCACCCGCCACACAGGCCGGGGAGCAAACACTCGCAAGCAATGTGATTAACCTGCCCCGCGCCACGGGGCCCACCTTGTTCGAAAATGGAAAGCGAGAGGTGAATTATTAACCCTAAAGCCAACAGGATTTCCATGAACTGTGTAACACGTGTCGGACTGGATGGGGCACTGGAGGTCACAGCCTTGCGCTCCCCGGGCTCGTGTCACTCTTCCCGCAAGAGGCCTCTGGAAGGAGACACGGCTGCCGAGCCCACCTGCGGGAAGGACGGGCGCTGTTCCGGCCACCTGGCTCGCAGGGAGCTCACAACGCTGCACCGAGCGCAGGCGCCAGTGCTCGAGGAGCCTGCTAAGGTCAACAGGCCCCACCACCCCGAGGACTGGGGTCTGACATCTTGTCCTTCATGAGATGCCGAGGCTGGAAATGCTGTTGGTTACTGGCAGCATGGGGCTGGAGGTGATAAGGCTTGTTGATGAAAAATAATTGTTCCTTTCTCAAACTGCTTATAATTTATACAAGAGTAAACATGACTATGAGAAGCAGGGAGCTCAGGGTAACAGCAAAGCGCTTGTTTGTAGGGGGAATTCACGTGGGCACGGGGACAAAATACCTGGCCCGGATTTCAAGTACAAGATCTCTTTCACATTCAGTTCTCATGTTCTTATCATGCATTCAGAGGCCAGATTCAGTCAGCTTAATATTTAGCCACTCGTTCCGGGAAAACAAAGAGTGCTTTATTCTTTCTTTGGAAGGCCATAGTAGTCTTCCTCTATAACTCTAAGTTAATTGCACAGTTGTCTCAAAGAGCATTTCAGACTTTGGATAGACTAGAGGTGCCCATTTCCATTGCCATTAGTGGTTCTAAATGTCTAAAATCCAGTAGGATTAATCAAAATCTTGATATTTTCAGGCGGTGGAGCGCTTTTTGTAGGCACTCGTAATGTATAATGAGAGTATCATGCTGGGAGCTAACAGTGATAGGTACTACGTGTTACCAGGTTGGGCTTTCTTCTCCCATCTTTTCTCTGTGGATGTAAAAAGCGGTTGGGTAAATAGGATGCAGAACAAAAAGCTCCAAAAATTCCTTCAGCAGGGGTGCTGTTGCAGTCCATGCAAAGTTCCATGACACCCTGAGAGGTATTCTGCTTCTCTCCTTCCAGCTGTGCATAAAAGCTATATCCATCCACAGGATGCATTGCATGATATTTAAGGACAACAAATTGTCACAACCTTGTTATCAGTCTTACCTAAATGAAGGTGTTTGCAGCATCAGGCATCATCTAACGACCAGCTATGTTCTTCTTCCATCAGGCCCACTGAGAAGCTCTGTAATGAATTGCCAGCACCAGTTGTGTCAGCACATACATTTTCTACTCAGGGACTGACTCAAGATAACCTTGCTTAGTTTACAAGATCTTCCAGTTTTCCGCTTGAACTCGTTCAGCTGAAGGCACGATAATAGTATGGCTGCTAAGAATTGGCTCATATTTTTGATGCATTGAGCAGCCACCCTCAAGTTTCTACCCACAGAGTCTTTCTGTATGTTTTTTCTGTACTTTACATTCAGTTTGTAACCTATCATTGGCCAGAATTTTAATACGTTCTTTTCCATGTGCAAAGATGTGTATATTTCAACTATTGCATGTGATATTTTGGCACAGTAGCCATTTCCAGAAGGTCAGCCCAACTGCAGCAAAACCCAGTCCTCAGATATTTGAGTCCTTGAACTAGCCAAGTCAGAGAGGAGAAGTTGTTTAGTGAAAAATGTTAGCAGCGTTGATATAGGAAGTAGTGGTTCATTACGATACGTGCTGTTGGGAGTTATCTGGGACCATCTGCTGTTTGGGCACCAGAAGCTGTATTTTGTTGCTTTCCATAGCTTATCTGCTATGAGACATCCTATGGAGTGACGCTGCAGCAGGTCAGAATCGACTTTGCAGTTTCATAACCATTCACCAATCCTTTTCCTGAAGCAATTTTCTTAGAACAAGACACAGCCCTGTTTATGTTCCCACAGCTGGAGTTTCACTTTTTTTTCCCAAGAGATAATTAGCAGGTGGGGGGGGGAAAGGGAGGATTGTTTCAAAATAATCACTGTCTCCAAGGAGAAAAAGCAGTTTCATTCATCCAACAGCAAAAACCATTAGGCTAGTCACGCAGTGAATACAGACTGGGAATTAAGAGTTACTTGCATTTTATTAGAAATGTCAGCACTAGGTGATCTTCGGGGCTTTGCGCAAGCTACTTCATTTGTTTGCCTTACATTTTCCAGACATACACTAGAGTAATGTTTATCTACCTATAATGTATCTTACACATAATCACCACAGAGAGATTGTTGCTAATTTGGTATCAGGAAAGTTTATTCTGACACTATCAAGTATTAAAACTTTCATAGTACATCCAGCTCAGTTGTGCTTTAGTCCCCGAGTACTCATTACTGCAACTACTCTGCCTTCTAGAGAGGACGGTCTTTTTCTAAAGAACATTTTTATACGGTCTAAAGCCCCCCCTTTTTTGTAAAAGATTTTTTTTTCCCCCCACAAAACCCGACAAAAGGTCATTAAGAAGAAGACTCAGAAAATGGAGAACCATTTTCTGTGGTATTTTTGCTGGCAGAACTTCATTGTCTTTTCAGACCTTGCCATCTATGTCATTTACCCCCACGCTCTTAACATAGATGCTCTATCAGTGAAGGGTGCTAAAAGAGGTCAAGTAAGATCTTCTTTTTGGAGAGCAATACAAACATGGGAAAAAATCTGTCAACAAAATTACCTCTTGTATGACGAGTAAATTATGGACATAGGTTAGGAAATTTGAAAGAAGTCTAGAGAGAAGTGTGGAACCTCGGTGTACTGTACCAAGCAGAGGTAAGTGAAACTGGAGAATACATTAACTAGCAATAAAGGAGAGGCAGGTATTAAAATGATGATAATAACAACGCAATACTCACAGCTGTATGAAACAGTTATGAGCAACTGCAATACTCATAACTATA